GGGCCCAGACGTGGGTCGATGCCCTCTAACGAATTTTGAACCCCACGCAGAAATATTTCTCCCCCTTCGTGCGGGCAGGCCCTGTCGTCCTTGCTTTTTTAAATTAATATGGCGTCCACGGCGGAGGAGGTGGGGGACGGCCGCAGGGGCCGCGAGGCGACGGGAGGAGGCGGTGGGGGAGATGGTAGAGCGCAGGGGCGCGCGAGGGGTCAACCCGCTAGCGGCGCTCGCGCGAGGCTGGCAGGCGGAGAGGGGTGCAGGCGAGGAGAGGGCGGCGGGGGAAGCGGACGGCGGAGGACCGGGCCGGGGCGGGGAGGAGGCGGCGAGGGCGGGGAGGAGGCGGCGAGGGCGGGGAGGAGGCGGCGAGGGCGAAAGCGGAGGCGGGGGAAGGGTGCGCCCCCCCGTTCGCGGCAGGGAAGCGGGTGGGTCGGGCGGCGGCACGGGGCGGCGGGGCCGCCTTATGCATCGCCGCGAGTGGGACCCAGCCACCACCGCCCTGCGACTTTGGGAACGCCATCGCGCCGCGCGGGTTGTCGGCTTTGATCGTCGCGTGCGCGCGGTCGAGCTGGGCCTGGACGATCCAGAGCAGCGGCATGATCCCGGACTGCCGCCCCTGCAGCGTGTCCGGGTACTTGTTGAGCGTGAAGGCAATCTCCTTCTCCGCCTCCTCGTCAAACTCGAAGGGCGTCTCCTCCAGGTTGTCGGCCTCCTTGACGTGGTGGAAGGTGCCCGAGGCGCGCGACGGAGCCGCCCGCAGCAGAGGAGCAGCGCGCGGCGCACGTCGCAGCAGCGCGGTGTGGAGCGACCGAGCACCGGCCGAGGTGCTCCTGCAGAGCGCCGTGCGAAGCAGCATGCTTCCTGGAAGCCCAAAAATAAGCCAACCTAATCTCGAGGCCGCTTTGGTCTGTCTGTGAGCTACATGCTTTGAACGTGTGGGCGGCAGCTGTCTGTTTACAGGCGCTGGCCGCCCGCGCGCGCGCCGGACCGGCTCCGGCACGTCAGGCGCTGGGCGGCGCGCGTCCACACGCGCGTCGCGCAAAAGGCGAGCGCTCGCCGCCGCTACGGCGGGAGAGAGAGATTTTTAGCAATACCAAACAACTCTAACACTCACACGTCATTTGGGGCCTGGAGCCCTGTTCACGCGCGCGCGAGACGTGCAGACAGGGTTGCCAGGTGAGAGCGAATGGCGCGGTTCACGCCTCGCACAACAGAGAGAGAGATGCGCTCTGCATGGTGGGACATAAAAGAGAGCGAGTACTTGGGCGAGTAGGTGTTACGGCGGCGGCGGCGGCCGACGGCCGACGGCCGACGGCCGACGGCCGACGGCCGACGGCAGACGGCAGACGGCAGACGGCAGACGGCAGACGGCCTAGGGCTCGGCTGGGCGCGCACGCGCACGCGCGCGCGTCGCGCGCCACGCGTCGCTCCGCGAGGGCGCGCGCCAACCGCGATTCGAACCGGGGCCAAAAGGCGCCTGGAGCGACCGCGGTCCGGTCGCGCCACCGCGGCTGCGGGGCTGATAGAGCAGGCCGGCTGCGGCTCCTAATGTACCTCCACTTTTGGGTGGCGGTCGCGCGCTGCCGACGGCGCTCGCCGGCGCTACGGCGCTCGCGGCGCGCTCGTGGCGTTCAGGGCGGCTCCACACGCACACACACACACACACACACACACACACACACACACACACACACACACACACACACACACACACACATGCACAGACACACAGCCCCTTCCCCTCCCCCCTCAAGGGCGAGGACACGCACAGGCCGCACCTCTAGTGAGGCCCGCATAGTATGTGGGAGACTCGTGCCGCCGCCCCTGCCACCCCTGTGTCAGTGTGCATGTGCGAGAGACTGCCAGCGACAAGCTGGAGGCAGGTCGCTAGACTGAGATGAGACCGCCAGTGGATGTGGGAGTCCACCGCGCACCGCGCTGCGAGCCTGTCGTGTCCCTTGTCAGGAGCAGGAGAGCCCCACCTGTCCCCCTGCTCGTCCTTCCAAAATCCTGCTCGTGCAGGTGTGGACCCTGTCCTCGTCCCATCCCTCGTTTGGCGTGTCTGTTTTCTTTCTTTCTTTCTGGTCTGTCTGTTTGTGCCCTTGGCACCGTGGAGTGCTGGGGGGGGCGACAGGGAGGATGTGGCCCTGAGTTATGTGTACGCCGACTCAGGGTATGTGGCAGCCAGCTGGCTGTGTGTCTTGTGAGCCTGTTTGTGTCTGTGTGTCGCTCGTGCGTGTCGTCATCATCTGTCCAGCGTCCACCCATACCGCGTTGGTGTCCAGTCCGAGCCTGGCTGTTCTTCACCTTTCTACCTGGCGTTGGATGCGTGGCAGGCGGTGGCGCCGATGGCGGAGGCTCGGAGCGACCATGGTGGGGCGGTGCTCGACGGCAAGCTGTACGCTGCGGGCGGCTTCAACGACGACGGCTCCCTCAGCTCGGCGGAGCGGTACGACCCGGCGACGAACGCGTGGGAGGCGGTGGCGCCGATGGCGGCGGCCCGGTATAATCACGCCGTGGCGGCGCTCAACGGCAAGCTCTATGTCGCAGGCGGGTCGGGTGCAGGTGCCGGCCACAGTCGCCTCAGCTCGGTGGAGCGGTACGACCCGGCAGTGGGCGCGTGGGAGGCGGTGGCGCCGATGGCGACGGCGCGGCTCTCTCCTCATGCTGCTTTGAGCATGTAGCTTGTAGGCGGCTGTTTTGCTGAGATTCCACCTTGAAAGTCGAGTCCTCTCTCTTTGGACATACATACAACTTACAAGCTATTACAAAAGAGAGTCGTGGCCTGAGAGCCGTGTGCGCCAACGCGAGATCGAATCGTACGGGACACACATCTTGCCGCGCCTCTCTCCACACCTCTCTCTATAGAGGGTCTCACTCTCAAATGATGCTCCCGCGTCCGGCGAGACGCGGTCCCACCTGTGCGCATCTCGGACACACGCGCTGCCACGCGAGATCGAATCGTACGGGGCAGCGTGGCGCCGCCAAGACGCACAAGGATAATGAGCTGCATGGGGGGCGGAAGAAGGGGGGGGGGGGGAGGGGGTGGACAGCGCACGGGGAGACGCCTTGGCCAGCCACGGCGCAGGCACCGCAACCACACTTGTGGCATGGCTCTCCTGGCGCCACGACCTCAACTCCTTTGACAACTGCAGCAAGGTGACGGGCTTGAACCAGTTGGGATGGATCCTCATGTACAACCTCCAGTTGATGATGATGC